GACTAGGACCAGGAAGGAAACCGGACTTATCCTTTCGGATCAGAGTAAGCACTTCGGAGGACAGAGATTGTGTGCCGAGATTCGGAGCAGCATCTGTTCCCGTATGTTACGTATATTCGAGCACGGAGATATGTGCCCGCCGGAGATTCGGAGCAGCTCTTACCGTAGTTACTATATTCGGCGACGGAGATTGTGCGCCGAGATTCGGAAGCGTCTCTGTCCCGTATGATACGAGTATTTGTTGGAGACGGAGAGTGTGTGCGCCGGATTTCGGAGAGAGCTCTTTCCCGTAGGTTAGTATATCTGCGGACTGGAGATTGTGCCGCCGAGATTCGGAGGCAGCTCTGTTCCCGTAGGTTACGTATATTCGGAGATGGAGATTGGTGCGCCAGATTCGGAGCAGCCGTCTGTTCCCCGTAGGTTACGTGTATTCCGAGATGGAGGTTCGCGTGCGCCAAGATTCAGAGCAGTCTCTGCTTCCGTAGGTTACGTATATTCGGGAAGACGGATTGTGCGCCGAGATTCGGAAGGCAGCTCTGTTTCCGTAGGTTACTTATATTCGGAGACGGAGATAATGCCGCCGAGATTCGGAGCAGCTCTGTTGCCAATAGGTTACGTGATTCGGAGATGAGATGTGCTGCGTGCCAAGATTCAGACACTCTCGTTCCCCGTACGGTTACGCTAATATTAGGAACCCCGGGATTGGTGCGCCGGAGATTGGAGCCAGCTCTCTGTTCCCGTAGGTTACAATATCGGAGCGGAGATAAGGCCGCCGCAGAAATCAGAGCAGTTAGTTATTTACCCGTCATAATGCTACTTCTGTGATGCACCGAAATTCGGAAGCACTACTACTAGGTCACAGTATATAGATTTACGAGTTGAGCACCTACTCGTTAAAAGGTGTTATAGCGAGTACTCGTTATGTTTACGACGGCGATAGGTAAAAGACTATATATATAATTTTGTCTCATAATAAAGTTTAGCCTAGACTAAACAACGTACCGACTTCAGCTTATTGCGTATCTTGGCAATTCTTGCCTCGTCGTTGTCCATTGTCGCGTGTTGGAGTAGAATGACGTGATAATTAATTACGTGACACCCGCGCAACTCGCCGTCTCGTAAAGGGTGCGAGAAATGATCCACATGTTAATCTAAAATGCCCATCGTGGCATACTCACTGGTGACCTAACCCTAGGGTTCAGTCTACACTTACATTAGTTCCCAATTCTCTCTGCTGTAGGTTAGAACTGTCTAATGCTGCGATGTGTTGCGTGGGTTAAGTGGTCGGTGTAAAAGTCGTGCGACAGTTCTGGCACACTTGCACCTCGACGCGTACCCGCAGAATCAGACTCAAGCAGTCTGAATCTCCAGTATAAGTAGTAATACTATTATCAGAATTAACAATTATTACGGATTCATGCTGTTGTCGGCCTCAAACCGCCAACTAGGTTTACGGAACCAGCTTGCACCTCGAACATGCCACCAAATATTGTGAATTTCGATGCAAACCACCACGTAGACGCGTCACCACGTCCTACACCGGCTTCTATACTTTAGTTAATGTCTAGCAGATCGACTTTTATATACAGTCTATAAATCACGTAAACAGTTGCAGCATCAGTTTCTGTGCGGCTATGTGAATTCGTGATAATGTTGATGGTTTTGCCCTGTTTGCCGCGAATTTATAAAGTAAGAGAGAAGTCCGAGGTGTTACAAGATTTGCTTGCAATAACGTGCCACTTATGTTCACAACTGTAACGCGCAAAGCGTACCGATATATATATATCAATAACAAATCGAAGTCTCTAACTATCTATGTCGCCACGCCGAAAACAATTTAAAAATTTAATGCAAAAATTAAGTTGGGCTCTTTTCTGACATTTAGAATCTTAAACTTTTTTAAACTTAATAATATTAATAGAAGCTCGTGTTATTTGACAACTGCATGTCACTGCAACATTTACGTGATTACATAGACAAACGTTGATTTCTTGTCTTGTATAGATTACCAACAGGAAGTATCCTAAGCTAAAGAGGTGGATGATGTTCTAGGTGGACCAGCTGCTTGGGAATGTTGACTCTACAGCTGGTAAATATTCTTGGTTCAAGGATAGAGATGTATGTCAGATGTATTGAGACCTATGTCATTTTCGCAAATGTGTGGGTGTTAGCCATTTAAAATCGACAGTTGTGCTCTTGAAGGTGTTGTTTGTCATTTCGAATCGAGCAAACTAGTCAGTTCACATGGAAGTGTGGAAAAAACTGTGTTTAGATGACCACTTACTCGCCCGTTACGGACTGTTTACTCACCATTTTCTACGCGCGATTAATTTCCCGTGATCTTCCTGTGCTACGGCCCTCAATCTTAGCGGTCATTTGCCGCGCGCCATTTACGGGATGATACTACTTGCCGTCCGCCTAAATTACCTGGAAATCCTGCTTGATATTCGTTTGGTTTTCTCTGGAAAGTCATAAATGAAATAAGAAATAGTACGGCCACTGATGTTAGACTGTTCCCTACTGCCCTCTCGCGGGCATCTGGTGATCGTATATGAATTTGCCCCCGCCCCCTCTTCCAGTCGCCGCTGGCCTGCCGCACGTCTGAGTGTCGCTGAGGGCGCGTAAGGGGGGGTGCATACAGTGTGATAGCCTGCGCGGTTATTACACCAAGATTATTGATAAAACCCACCGAAACGCCCATGTTTCAGTTGTCTGTGTGTCGCTGGCGCGCCTTCCTAACATTTCTGACTACGCTCCTGCTGCCCGGCCGCCGCCGCGCCGGCTGGTCATAAACTTTTATATTATAACTCGATGTCGATATTCTATTTCATATTAGAAAAAACTCCACTCTTCGTTTGTTTATATTCTTCTATGTTCCTGCGACATCTTCCGCGTTTCTGTTTTATGCATTCTCTACATTAATAATATCAGGATAGATAATAGGGAGAGTGTGACATCAATAAACAAGGAAATTCGTCAGTTTACTATGCTTATAATACCTACGATTTTACTACTCGTGAACTCTCCAACTTGAGCCTCAAATTCAGACACAGTACATTCGCCTAGCATCGTGCGAAATCGTTTCCTCGTATACACCCGCAATCCGGAGATACAGATTAAAACGTACGACACGATTCTCCATTCTTTGGCCATCAATCCAAAGCCATTGCGCACCTCTAATTCAAACAAAAGGCAGCTACCTAACGCGCTATTGCTAACTCGGCGAGGCATGTGGCTCGCTGGGAGATTAGGCATCAACACTCGGCGAGATAACCTTTGACCCGGTACACAGCTACACAGGCATACCGGCGTACAGCAGCCACCTCTGCACATACCTGGCATGCCTTCACGCACGCACGCCAACCGCAATCAGCAGCAGCTGATCGGGCTCAAATCTCCCAGCGAACCACATTGCCCGCCGAGTTAGCAAGCTGTGGTTAGGTAGCTGCCTTTTGGTTTAATAGAGGCGGGCAATGGGCTTGGATTGATGGCCAAAGAATGGATAATCGTGTCGTACGTTTTAGTCTGTATCTCCGGATTGGTTGTGTAAACGAGGAAACAATTTCGCACGATGCTAGGCGAATGTACTGTGTACGATTTGAGCTGAAGTTGGATGAGTTACGCGTAGTAAATCGTAGGTATTTTAAGGCTAGTAAATGACGAATTTCCCTTGTTTATTGATGTCACACTCCTTCCCTATTATCTACTCCTGATAAATATATATCTATATTTAGGGTTAGGATTAGGGTTATGGTTAGGATTAGGGTTAGGGTTAGGATTAGGGTTTGGGTTAGGGTCAGGGTATTCGGCAGGAATATTTATATATTTTTTACATTTTTATCTTGTTTAAATTTTTAAATTTTCAACTTTTTCCATTTCTTTGGCCGTGCAGTTTCAAAACAGACCGTGCAAATCACGGCTGCACGGCTCGCTGGCTGATACGCATACATACACACCGACAGACACACTAATAGACAGTCTTGCACATACAAACAGACATGCATATACACACACACACACACACACACACACGCACACACATACGCAGACATATCTATATATTCATGCATTCGACAAATCGTTTCTCCCTTCGTGCTGCCGCTGGCTGGTTGTCACGCGCCTTGCTCTTGCTCGCGTAGACTACAGCAAAGACGCGCCTGTATATTATGAGTTCCTTCAGTAACAGTACCGTACAGTATCGACCGCGACACGGCAAACGTTTCAACATTTCACCCGTAGGTACGTGCGGGGCCACGCCGATGCGAATTTTTGCATGTATATATATATACACTCAATATATTTTTCTCTGCATATATTTCTATATATACACATATATATATTTATTTATATGATCTATATATATAGCTCAGTTGCTATATATAACCACGTACATAGTATATATATATATATCGTAGTGGCGCCATCTATCGGAGAAAAAAATCGTCTTGTATTACTGGACATCTCTATCCTCGAGGCTTGAGCCAATATTCTAGCTCTCCCTCCGAGCTTCGGAATGTTATATGTGGCACAGAAACAGTTCAGGCCGTCGATCCATATACAAACCACATACCAAAAATGTATTCACAAATGTCTATGTGTAACAAAATAATCTCGCAAAACATGTTTATAACTTTTTTTCAATTACAAAATCATGCATGTCATTTGAGGATACATAGAAATGAGAGGAATGATTTTAGCCAGGCACATACAGTCAATTTCCAGTTGTGAAACCGACAATAGTCTGAGCATGCTGTGCTTTTTACATAATTTTTATAAATTGTTGATTTATAATAGTTATTAATTAATACAAATATAGCTTAAATTAAGATACCTGAACTATATTAACATTAGTTGTTTTTGTATTGCCTAGGTTACTCTTCAATCTGAAAACATGTAAATATGGCAGAGCTCATTCTAAAGATGTTGTTTAGACAAAGATGTTGAAAGACAAAGTTATTGATGTATTTTAAAGAGTTGTGTTTTTTTTCTTTTTCTTGCAGAGCCATGCCCTAAATGCTCCCACCCTAGAGCGTACTTTATGCAGATACAGACACGGTCGGCCGATGAACCGATGACGACATTCTACAAGTGTTGTGACCCGCATTGTGGCCACAGGTGGAGAGAGTAGGCAGTGGAAGAACAGTACCAGGGGAAGATGGTCATAATCACGTGTATTATTGCCGCACTTATTAACTGACCAGTGGTATTAAACGTGTTGAATACTTTGTATCATTATTGGTCATATTTCATACTGTGAGTGTACAAGAGAGAAGTCATCATTCCCCGTTGGGAGAGGATCAAGTACACAGTGAGAGAGAGAGTCTTAGTGTCGTATAAGACAACATGAAGTTGAAAGAGCTCGAAGGCGCTCTGCAGGAGCTGGAACTCTTCCGATCACCGAAACTGCTGCTCGAGCAATACCCCACACGGCCTCACATCGCTGCCTGCATGCTGCACACCATCGACAATCGCTACGGCGACATCGAAGGCAAACTTGTCGCCGACCTCGGCTGTGGTTGTGGGGTGCTAACCATCGGAACTGTGCTGCTTGGAGCCGGTCTATCTGTTGGTTTCGACATTGACGACGAGGCTCTGGAGATATGTGCTCAGAACTGTGTCGAATTTGAAAGTGGCAATATAGAGCTGATACAATGCGATGTCACTCAGTTCGAGGACGAAGGTTCGACGTGGAGTAACAAGTTTGACACGGTCATCATGAATCCGCCATTCGGAACAAAGCATAATAAAGGCATGGACGTACTGTTCCTCAAACATGGCTTGTCTATGGCGAAGACAGCTGTCTACTCTTTACATAAGACTTCGACGAGAGCACACATGAAGAAAAAGGCTGCAGAGTGGAAGGTTGACATGGAGGTTATTGCTGAGCTCAGATTTGACCTGCCCAAATCTTACAAGTTCCACAAGAAAGGTTCTGTGGATATCGAAGTAGATTTCATTCGATTCGCACACAAATAATGTTACTGTTGCAAAAGTATTTAACACTTCATTAAATTTTTATGGACATGTGTAACATTTTTGTTTGTAATGCATTGTACATTTTGTTCAATTCACTAAACCATCTTCTAATTCAAGCACATGTGTAAGCAGTTGCATGCGCCACTGCAGAATTTGGATGGGTATACCCCATTACAGATGGTCTTCTATGTGCATTTGCTGGTTGGGTATTTGAATGTTGAGGGAAGGGGGTAAACCAGTGGTCCTCCTGAGACTGCTTTAAATTTGCATGCCTGATTACATAATATCAGGTAATATTACATATATGATTACATTATATTAAATATATGATTACATTATATTACATATATGATTACATTATATTACATATATGATTACATTATATTACATTATATGATTACATTATATTACATATATGATTAGATTATATTACATTATATGATTACATATGATATACACGTATTGGTGTGGATTCATGGCCATTTTATTTCAAATTTCGGAACAGTAGAATCATTATGAGATAGGATGATCATGCAACACGCACGTAAATGCAGCACCTGGATTGCCTGAAGGCGAGAAGAGGGGGGAGAAGGAATGAGGAGGGGGTTTGGTGATGGCTTGCAGGAGAAGCAAAGGCAATAGCAGGAACCACATGAGAAATATTAGGGAATGGAAGAGAGGAGAAGAATTGGGTTAAGGGCAGGGAAATAGTAAAAGTGCCTCCCTTAAGAACATACGGGTGAACAGCGGATACATGAAGGGACAAATACACGTTCGATATGAAATAATGCATTATATATACTCATATATTCTAATAATGAGACAATCATCAGTCAATAAAGAGGAATTATATATAGGAAGAAAACTGAAATTATAAAATAATATATATATAATTATTAATTAATTAATGATAATATATATAACTGGAATTATATATATAAGGAATAGATGCTAGAAGAGTGCATGATGAAGGTTGTGAAAAGACATGTGTATCAACAAGATCATTGACGGGGTTTTTCTTTTTACACGACATTACATATGATCATTCATGTAGGCTGAAATACGAATTTAAAATCACTGTTGAATACAATATATAATATATACCTGTTTCCACCTTCGATTCTCCTCTTTTCCGCGTGCACTGGATCTGGTTCGTTATGTTAGCTGTATGCAAAAGTAAATCTAGCTTTCATATTATGCGCCAATTAAGTGTCCTAACCCTCTAAATTTCTAACTTATGAATATTGAACATGTGATGATGTGGTTGTATCATAGGAATATATATATAGCGACACTAACTATAGTATATTATTTCTATGGGTTGTGCTGTCGTTGCATTTGGTTTAGCAGCAAAAGTAGTTGGCACAAAGCAACACCACGCGCGCTTGCGCAACAAAGTCACACACACACACACAGGTTCGGAGGCATATCCCTAATTTGCTTTGACATATTGATGCAAAATCAATCATGCAATATATTGCATGTTCAAAGACCTAACATCTTTAGAAGTAGCATGCGTGGCATGAACAAATTGCACTTACGCAATGCGGTAGGGAAATTGATTAGGGGAGGTCGGTAGGCGGTTGACAGTTTCCAATCTCGATAGTCTACCGCACGAAATCGTATGGTGTACGGATATGCCTAGTGTTTATAACTTCGTTAGTACTAAACGCAGGCCATTCATAACTATATTATATTCAGACAAGTCGCTCCATCATCATCTGTGTTTTGCGGTATAGCTTCCCTCCGGGGTTGGACATCATAATCCATCCTAGTCTACACATATACATACTAGTCTATGCATCCTAGTAACGCATCCTGTCGTTGGCCCTCCAGCCAATTACATTAATTAATCAATGCAATTTATTATATAATTATTGATATATTTATTCAGGTACCGAAGTACCATTTCCCGCTGTAGGCGTTAATTGGTAATCTTCCGATACCCCTACGTTATCGTAAAGCTAACAAGCTTCGGCTTGAGTATGTTACCGCTAGAACAACTCTTGGTAGAATCCACCACTAGCGTCCCCATTGATGCCTCTACAAAGACAAGCGTTGCACGACCTGTGCGCGGGAAGCTTGGGGGCTAATGACTTATTTGTTTATGTACGATGGATGCGTCAACAAAGCAGGTCGTGCCACAAGGACAGGTAGCCACAAGTCGCCTCGCTTTTCACTACGTGGCGTAAGACAGTCGTATAGAGAGCCAGATACTGGTCGGGTTACGAGATAGGACTTGCATTATACAGAGGACCTCATGCACTCGTAGAGAGAGGCGGAGAGCGTACTACATATACGCACAGGAGACGATACAGAGGAGCACCCCATGCACTCGTAGAGAGAGGCGGAGAGCGTACTACATATACGCACAGGAGACGATACAGAGGAGCACCCCATGCACTCGTAGAGAGAGGGAGAGCGTCATACATACGCACAGCAGACGATGATTGTGGCGGGAGAGAACGACGGGGTGGTCGGCGTTGCCGCCACACCGCGACACGGCAGCAGTGAGCTCATCAACCCTCCACGCACACTGCGCCGTCCGGATACGGATCTGGAAGCCTGCATCATCGACGGGAAAGTAACCGCACCGCCGCTCCTTCAGCTAATCCACGTGTGTCAAGTCAGTCAGTGGTCAAGTCAGTTGTGCCAAGTCAGTCAGTGGTGAAAGCAGTGGCGAAGTTACTTGTGTCAAGTCAGTCAGTGGTCAAGTCAGTTGTGCCAAGTCAGTCAGTGGTGAAAGCAGTGGCGAAGTTACTTGTGTCAAGTCAGTCAGTGGTCAAGTCAGTTGTGCCAAGTCAGTCAGTGGTGAAAGCAGTGGCGAAGTTACTTGTGTCAAGTCAGTCAGTGGTGAAATCAGTGGTCAAGTCAGCTGTGACGACAGACGCGTCCCGCAGGATCGGCGGATCCCGGAACTGGGCGGCAGCGTGCATGGCGGCCACGTCGTCCCCGCACGAGAGGAAGCCACCGTGGTGGGCCGCATGGGAGGAGCGCCAGGAGGAGACTCGGGGCTCGGCGGCGGCGGAGGAACAGGAGGGGACTCGGAGCCGCCTCCTCGGAGAGCAAAACCCAGGAGGCAACGGCAGCGCGGCGGCGGGAGAAGGAGTTACGGATGTCACAGCTGCGCGGAGCAGTTCACGCAACTCGCCGATGTCATACGTCACGTCAAGACTCACGAGATAAGCTCCGGGAGGCAGCCGAAGCAATCCGTGGACGCGCGTGCGAGGCAAGAAGTGGCGCCAACTGGCGTTCCCGACACCGCAGCGCTGATGGATCGCAAGAGCCACGCATGCGCGGCCGACATCGCGTCCGCCCACGTGACCGCGGACAACGCGCGGAAGCCTCACCTGGCGGTCACCACCGGGGTTGAGAGCCGCGGTAGAAACACCGGAGCATCCGAGCAGAGCGCGACTTCACGCGACTTAGCGACGCCTTGCACGAAGCCGGCGCTAGTCGTGGCGATGACGTCACCGCTAGCGAGTCACGTGTTGCTGCCAGTCGGTCAGCTCGCTGCGACGGAGAAACGGAGGCTGCTGCCGGTAGACGGCGCTTCGGGCGCCCCGGCCAACAAGCGCAGCCGGGATGCCGACAGACCGCGACCTCACGCGTGCGCAACCTGCGGCGCGGCCTTCCACACTAAGCTGCTACTGAAGGCGCACGGGCGCGTGCACACGGGCGAACGCCCCTACAAGTGTCAGCTCTGCTCGGCCGCCTTCTCCTGCAAAGCAAACCTCACCTGCCACGTGCGCACGCACACGGGCGAGCGACCGTACAAATGCGACGTATGCTCGGCGGCGTTCTCCCAGGGCGGACACCTACAGAAGCACGCGAGGATCCACACGGGCGAGAAACCGTACGCGTGCAACATCTGCGGGTCCTCGTTCTCTCAGTCCAGCTACCTGACTGTGCACCGCTGGGTGCATTCAGCAGAGAAGCCATTCAAATGCTCGTACTGTGCGGTGGGGTATAGCCGAGCGACCAGCCTTACGGCGCACCTCGCCCGCCTACACGACGTCCGTAGCGACGCACAGCGGCCGTACCAGTGTCTGCTGTGCACGGCCGCCTTCACCGACGTCAGGTTTCTTAAGAGACATGTGACGGAGATGTCGAAAACGGACGCGTCGCACAGAGACAACGCGTTGCAGCTTCAGCTCGCTTATTCGTGCGTGTAAGAGTCGGGAAGCGCTCTCAGCTAGAGCAGTGTGTGAGGCGACGGTTGTACATGAGTGTTAGATGGATGATCAGGTGTCCAGAAGAGTACGTGTTACGACTAGTAGCTATACTACTCGAGATGTGTATAGGAAAGCGCTTTCAACCAGAGCAGTGAGTGAGGGTTAGACATACAAGTGAGGGCGACGGATACATTAGTGTTAGTAGCTCTCGTACTATATATCCCTTGTTGCGACACGCAAATGCGCCTGTGGCAACAAGGGCTATAGTACTAGAGCAGGGGTTCTTAACCTGTGGTACGTGGACCAGTCACCTCTTTGGGTCCGTGGATGGGCTTCAGGGGGTCCGTGAACCAGGCGCATAAAAAATTTTGTTTATGTGCATTTTTTTGCGGAGGGGTCGTAGCTTTCCCCAGATTCTCAAAGGGGTCCATGACTTAAAAGTGAAGAACTACGGTACTAGAGCTATAGAGTGTTAGATGATCATGTGTCCAGAAGATTACGTGTTACTATACTAGCAGTTACTCTACTCGATATGTGTATATATTCCCTATTATTTACTTCTGGTATATATGTATAACCCTAAGAAGTCGTAGTGCTTTGTCATCTCGCCCTCCATCACTTCTATTTATTTAGTTTCATTTGCTTTAATTCATCAGCATTGTCAATTAATTTCTTTACAAATCTAATTCATAAGTGCAAATAAAGTTAAGTTGAAGTGAATGAATGTTGAAATAAAACTACATCAATAAAATTTTAGAAACTTGTACTACTGTAAATAATATGCGGTTATTTCTCTTGTTTTGCTGGTACGTAGACAGTTGTATATAGCACGAAATTCACACGAGAGTAATGCAATTCCATTTAAATACAAGGCAATCAGGGAGTGATCATATTTTAAAATTTATTAAAAATTTTATCTTACAAATTTAAATTTCATCGAGTGCTATATCTATACGCTCACTCACACATTTCCAACCTAAACCAGAGTCACGAACAGAAAGTATTTTCATCACGTCACTACTACACAATTTCAGCGAGACGTCTTGCTTATTATCAACGGACCTCCAGGTGGGGTTAGTAGTTGCTACGATTTATTATACACTGTCACACCATCACTGAACGATAATGTCCTGTTGTCAAACATATTGCTACACTAGAGAAATGTCGTCAGGAGTGTCTGTCATGCCACGCAGGTTAAGCATAGAACACTACAAGTACCAACAAACCGTAGCCTAACATTTCTTGCCGAAGTTCGAATTGGGTTTTTTACGCTTAAAGCAAGATTAGGAAAGCAAGTTCGTTCATGTGTGATCATCATCGACCGAGAAATTACATCGTAGATCCGTTTACAGAATCGAGTATTATTATCAATATCTTAGACGGTATTTCTACTGTAATAAGAAGCAGTTATGACGCGTCTCTCACAGCGAACCCAATTCGCTATGCCACTTATATTAATCAATGCACTCGCATACAGATCATCAGTAGTTGTCGTAGAATTATTCTCACCAGGGTACCTGGGGTCACACAGATAATTATATCAGGAGAACGGCGAACACCGGCATTATCATGATTAGAAGCATCGTATTGTCAGGAGTGTATAATATAGACTATTGCTATATATATATATATATATATATATATATATATATATATATATATATATATTGCAGCGATGCAAATTCAGGCGAGTGAAAATTGCCTTGTGATGCTTGCCTTGCTGCCTTGTGATGCTTGGCTTGTGATGATTGGCTCAGAACCTCTTCCAAGAGCATCCTAATGCACTTAGAACAACTGATACTAGAAGCTATAGAAAATAAATATATATATATATATATATATATATATCGTCTATATTATACACGCCTGATGTTGTGCTACACTGCTACGCACATAACTAACAATGTTAGGGAACTCCCTCGAATGAGGAACAATCGGTTGAGATTCGTTTTAATCCCTGTAACTAACGTGAGACGAAATACCGACGACGTAGGGGGGATCCACAGCAATACTATATGCTGCGATGCGGTCATGTTTAGTTGCTTCTTGACTTGCGTCACTGCGACTCGTGGTCAGGCAAGTGTTTTTTTTTTAGAAAATGTTTATAAGTTAAAGCTCTATTATATACAGCGTACGACTATCACGACCATTATTTACAAAACACGTTTTCTACGCAGTAACCAACGGTGGCAGGCGCCCGCCGCCTCTAAGATATACACACAGCTACTACTAAAAATTAATTTACATAGTTGAAATGTAGCCATCAGTGACAGATGAGCACACACGCACAATTTACAACTTCGAGACACAAACCGAAAAACACTAAAAGTTGGGAGGGACGGAGAATATTCACATATTTCAGCAGCTATGCACATGTGCACAACAATATAAACTGTATATCGATCGCACACATGGTTCTAAAAAAATCGAGTGCACGTTATAATTTACATGCAAGATGCTGCGAAGAGTATGTAAACGTGACGTCACGGTGTATGCTACTCACGATGTGATGACGCGCCACTGACTTTAACAGTGGACACGCGCAATGTATGTCCCGCAGCGCCATGAAATATCGAATAGTACCCATGTGTTCACCTGTCATGGTTACTTACTGTAAGCAATAGAGCAGTGTAGCGGGGAGAAAAGCAACGGCAAATGTTGCCAGGCACTATTGCAATACACTAACGTCGGTTTTGACAACTACTACAAATTCACAGCCACAACTTTTATGATACCCGGCAGACGTGACGTCTGACATGAGATTCGTATTCAACATAAAACCACGCAATAAAAACACTTTCGTCAAGCTTCTGAGGTACGTATAGACAATCTCTTACATTGAACATGATTTAGGGGTAGAACCAATCACCATGATAGTAAAAAGAAATATATTCGTTGCTAAAAATATATAATACTGCAAGCTCTCTCGTTAACATACAGTATTTACAATGTAAAATATTTTACAGACTAATGTTTAGATATCTGTCAGCGCTAAGAACGCGGACAATAATCAAATTTTTAAAAGCCTACAGATGTGATATATTCCTTGCGCTAAAAATATCACAAGGCTAGAAAATGTTCTTTATTATGCAAAAATAGCCCTTCAAGTATGTTGGAATACATCACACTAGTAGGGTGCCCGTGGGTAATGCTCCATATCATGACTGTACAGATTTAAACACAACATATATATCAGATCACAACTCCACCTAGTGGACAAGTGGCGAACAGCGCTGGGAGACAGACACACGCAAGAGCAGACCTAAAATGAGATGTGCCAGGATTCGAACAGAAAGTCAAACTATGCCGTGGTGTCAATTAACAAACAAGGCCATGAGGTTAGGTATTTATAATCTACTGCCAAGCTTTTTCATTGATTGAAAGATTCGGTATAGCCTTATGTTGATTATGCCTTTCATCTCAGAAGGCAAATACATGTGTATTTCGATTACGAAGACATGAATGATCACACCATACGTAGACACGAATGGTCACACCATACCTAGACACGAATGGTCACACCATACGTAGACACGAATGGTCACACCATACCTAGACACGAATGGTCACACCATACGTAGACACGAATGGTCACACCATAAGTATATACCATATATCATACATGCCACACCTGCCTACCTTATTCACACACCACATCTCATACTGCTACTCTCACTTGCAAATGAACCCCCCCCCCCCCCCCTCCCCTGCACGCGCGACTCTCCCAGCTCTGTCCCCCGCCCGCCGCGGTTAAATAATTACGAACGTCTACACGAGGTGGCGCTGTGTCATACAGACGACTCGTACTGCGACATCACCGTCTCGCGGCGCGCGTCCGCATCCGCTGCGGCCGCCGCCGCCGCGAGGCTGTTCGCGTGGTTCTCGTCGAAGCGCATGTCGCGGCATTTCACGAGCACGACGGCGTAAGCGGCGATGGGCACGACGCCGATCGCCGCCGAGATGCCGTGGTAGAGGAAGCGGAAGCGCTCGTTGTCGTAGACGAGGCAGTGCCCCTGCTGGCCGCAGTTGTCGGCGAACAGCTCGCACGCGGTGTCGATCGCCGTCGCGTAGAGCACGGGGCCCGGTATGACGCCTGCAAGAGTGAGACACAGTCAGGGGTGAGAGCGCGATGCAGTCGGGGTTAGTACAGGATTCAAACCAGATTCTTCTTTTCAGCCCGGTATGAGACCTGCAAGTGTGAGAGCGCGATACAGTTGGGGTTAGTACAGGATTCAAACCAGATTCTTCTTTTCAGCCCGGTATGACACCTGCAAGTGTGAGAGCGCGATACAGTTGGGGTTAGTAGGGGATTCTACAAACGTGGGTCCTGGGATGACACCTGCAATAGGACGACACAGTCGGGGTTAGTACAGGATTCAAACCAGATTCTTCTTTTCAGCCCGGTATGACACCTGCAAGTGTGAGAGCGCGATACAGTTGGGTTATAGTAGGGGATTCTACAAAGGGTCCTGGGATGACACCTGCAATAGGACGACACAGTCGGGGTTAGTACAGGATTCAAACCAGATTCTTCTTTAAGCCCGGTATGGACACCTGCAAGGGTGAGAGCGGCATACAGTTGGGTTAGTGGGATTCTACAAACGTGGGTCCTGGGATGACACCTGCAATAGGACGACACAGTCGGGGTTAGAACAGGAGTCAAATCTGATACAGTAGTGGTTAGTAGGGGATACTACAAACGTGGCTCCAGGGATGACACCTGCAAGAGGACGACGTAGTCAAAGATTAGTAGGGGATTCTAACTAGGTTCTTCTTTTCAGTCCAGTATGACACCTGCAAGAGGACGACGTAGTCAAAGATGAGTAGGGGATTCTAACTATGTTCTTCTTTTCAGTCCAGTATGACACCTGCAAGAGGACGACGTAGTCAAAGATTAGTAGGGGATTCTAACTAGGTTCTTCTTTTCAGTCCAGTATGACACCTGCAAGGGAGAGAGAGAGGACGATGCAGTCAGGGTTAGTATAGGATTCTAACTCGATTCTTCTTTTTAGCCCGGTATGACACCTGTAAGGGAGAGAGAGGACGACGCAGTCGGGGTTAGTCCGGGATTCTAACCCGATTCTTCTTTTCATTCAGGGATACTACTGGTCCCGCTGCCGGCAAAACCCACGACGGCTACGATGAACACTCTTAAAATTTCCATGAAATGGCGTTTACGAGGTTAAATTTAAACCGCTTCTTTAGAATGGTGGACCTGTCACGTAAAGAACGGTCTTAACAATCTTCTTTAGTGACCCTTATACAGTACAAAATCTATTATCCGAAATCCTTGGGACCAGACACGTTTCGGAATTCGAAATTTTTCGGATTTCGGAATGATAGTACAGTACAGATATACATACTGGCTGTACCAGTACAGTACAATATGTATGAGTGATACCAAACATTAATATTTCTGCAGTGAATCTTGTGGAACCAAACGCGAGCTTTGGTGTACAGACGACTTCCACGGAATAAACTTTCAGTTTTCGGAGCTTTTCGATTTTCAGAATTTCGGATAATAGATTGTGTAGTACGGATTTTCTTGTATTTAAAATGTGAAAATAGCTTTGGAGGGGCACAATTCCCAACTATTACAATCAATTCGATTTACAACTGGTTTTCATTAGATGATACTTGCTTTATCAACTTTATTTAACTACTAAACGTACAATATATCTTTAAAACTGCCGCTTCAAGTGTTTTTTTTGAAAAAAAAGTGAAATGGAGTCGACTTCCACGAGATACTATCATGGATATGTAACCGCCACCACTGTGTTATGCTTGTCGTAGATGGAATCTTACCTATCAAACCTGTGCAGACTTGTGCCACTCCCAGGGCTATGTCTTTATGATCCTTATCGACACACCTGAAATACAAACACAACAAGTTTATTCATTAGCCACAGGGAAAATAAATCTTTTATATCAGCTGGTTACATTTCATCAAGGAAATTTTGAAAACAACATCACATCCCAACAATATCCCTGAGCATGATTTATATCAAATGATATTAGCAAGATATATAATAGAAAATCCCCTATTATCTACTCCTGATTTATATCTTACTATGAGCCAATCAGGTGGTAATTACACCAATGTATGTAATGAATATGCTCAGCATACGCTACAAACCATTACAATCACAACAGACTCTAACGTGTGCTTAAATACATGGTAAAAAAAACGAAGTACAGGGCAGTTTGATCTATCTGAGTATCACTGAGTATACCTATCGATATATGATATCATTTGATTTGTATTGATGATTGATTTGATCGATGATTTGTACATCATTGATCTATTAAGTATCGATCACTCACCTGATTGTGATCATCATGTGACCCGTGTTCCTCAGGTTGACGTAGAAGACGAGGAAGAACAGGATGACGATGAAGGAGACGTGACTATCGCAGTGCGACTCACACGTGTCCCGCTGCGCCCAGCCCGACTCCACGCACGCGCACGAGTTATAGGTCTGCAATCAAACACGCAGAGAAACATTGAGAAATGTATAAAGTTCAATTCAGGCTTTTTACAAAATTTAAAAAAACACATTATTGGGTGAAGTTATAGTTCTGCAATCAAACATGTAGAGAAATATTGAGAAAAAATGGTGTATAAAGTTCAATTCAGGCTTTGTCAAAAATAAAAAGTTATTAGCATAGTACCAAGAGTAGATAATAACACAAGAGTGAGACAACCGATTCCCGCATTTTTAACCGATTTTTCTCATCAAAATTTGCCACCAATAAAGAAGCAAGTGTATACGTTCCTCAGCTTATTATGACCACTAATCACTCACCTTCATGGTACTGATATTCGTTTACATATATTTGCTAGCGTATTGCTGTAAATCGTAATCTTGCACGAGCTGAATTCGCACGATTTACCGCTGTTGTTGTGACCTGTTTAGCCATTATTTAGAAGCTATCGGGGTGCTAATATTTAGCAACGGACGGTTTCCAAATCATTCGTGCCCCGATAGGGTTGAGAGACAATCTAAATTTCGAATTTTGATCTCGTGAAGAACCTGCGAGACGCGCTCAGTTATTGTGATCGCAACACAAGAAATTGACATACTATCTTACATAAGTAATAATACAATAATAACAATATTCTCTGTAGTAGTTTGCAGTAAGTATCACATTACGCACGCGCAGGTAATCAAGTACATTAAACCCCTATCGGGGCACGCATGATTTGGAAACCGTCCGTTGCTAAATATTGGCGCACCGATAGCTTCTAATAATGTCTAAACAGCTCGCAACAAGTCGCCATTTTAGCAGTAAATTTATCGAATTCAGATTACGATTTACAGCAATACGCTAGCAAATATATGTAAACGAATATCAGTACCATGAAGGTGAGTGATTAGTGGTCATAATAAGCTGAGGAACGTATACACTTGCTTCTTTATTGGTGGCAAATTTTGATGAGAAAAATCCGTTAAAAATGCGGGAATCGGTTGTCTCACTCTTGTGTTATTATCTACTCTTGATAGTAGCGGAGAACATTATACGGGCTATAGCCTATATGACAAATGTAGAGAAATATACGAATTTTGTATAAAATTACATTCAGGCTGTATCAAAAATAAACAAAAACGTTACTGGTGCAGTACGGAAGACGTTATACAGGCTGTGCGAAATGTAGAGAAATATACAAATTGTATATAAATTTCAGGCTGCACCAAAAATAAACAAAAACATTATTGGTGTAGTACCGAGAACGTTATATATATATACGGGTTACGCAAAATGTAGAGAAATATGCAAATTGTGTATTACTAGTGTAGTAAGGAGAACGCTATACAGGCTATGCAAAACATGATGTGTGACCGAATATATAATCCACAAAGGTGCGTGCACACATCTCACATCACACATCTCAAAATTAATTGTCACTCGATAGCTACGCATACAATCAAGAGTACATAATAGGAGACGATTATCTCCTATTACGTACTCTTGATACAATCTCTCACATATGTCAAAAAGTATTTCAATATCGTAATCTAAATGCAAATGTGGAAAATCCTAAAAACGCAAATCTATTCATTTAAACTCGAAATATACTCGTCTAATTCGAACGATCGGAATGTGGAGAACACACCAACGTCGGCACACGAGAACAATATACACCCACGTAAGAGCCACGCCTAGTGTTAAATTGTCAACAAGAATAACACCAAAGCACTCTTTATTTTTAAAGGACAACATGTTACCACCAACAAGGACAAGACAGCAGCCACACGATAGTGATATTTCTCACGGAAGCTGATAGAAAATGGGCAACCATCCACTACTATACTGCATAGCGCGAGATTTCCTAACGATAATAGCTTAGATTGACTTTGATTAAGCTTCAGAAGTTCATATCCTTCTGCTCCCGGCCAAACATCTAGCAGATCATCGTGTGCAAACAAGAAATTAAAGAATGCATGGCGCGTAGAAGAAGGTAAAAGCTGGTGGCAAAGCCACATCTACATAACCGCGCATCTGTCGGCCTGCAAAATCCAATCTGCCTCGAAGCCAGAGAACTCTCGGCTGGGAACCACTGGGTTTAAAAAAATCTCGAAACCACTTTTCGGAAAATTTCATGAAAAACGAGTTTTGAGTTGAGTCAGTTGTATGCGGCTCGTGTTTGAAGTGTTTGAATTAGCACGAGCAACCGCCAAACATTCAAAACAGGTTTGAAACACTGTTGCGCAACCAGTCCACACACATATAGCACACACACGTATATACATAGCACATACAATACAAATATATGACAAACTAAAAACTATAATCCGAGTATTACACCGTTGACATTTTCTCATACGACTCGAAATGTTTTCCCTGTTTTTTTCTTCATCGAAGAAAAGTTCACACGTCATCCGAATCACTGTAGAAATACTAGAGTCCAGAGATCAGCTCTAGTCGCTCCCGCCCCCACAGTTCTTTGCGCATACAGATTACGGACCAAGCTGCTTAAAATTCACCATGACTTCACGAGAATCCTACAGATGAAATGATCACCGTCTCCACTCATGATTGACAGGTATCTCACCAGGTATATTATATCTCACCAGGTACGCAAGCAAAGCAAGCGCTGGTCTCGTTCACCTAGCTTGAACTCTAAATAAACAGCTTATACGCGTAAACAAAAAGTATTCAAATTATATTACAAAATATGTTTAGCTTAAACTATATTCACTGTTACAACCGCGTCATCAACTACCATTAGTTAAGGGCCTTCCTTTATAGGGTGGACAACGCAGGCCCTCAAGTGTAGGGTCCAAAAGAAGAGATATCAACAACTTTATCTTCATCTTACAACTTTTCCTGGGCTTATATACTTACTGGGCTATGCTAAATACTATATTATGCTTCCTGGGCAAACCTATTAGTCCACGAGGTTTAGGAATAATCGAAAATCAGGCAGTAGCAGCTATACCAACTCGAACAGCACAACGCACACGAACTTACACACGTTACATGCATTTTCCTGTACCGTGTTACGTGTACGCCTTCTTTCACGGGGGCCTCTCCACTGTCTAGTTTTGTCTCAGTGGGAGGTTAGGAGTGGGGGCGGGGAAAATCACCAGCAGCAAAAGCAGTTTCACAAAGACACCCTCAGCATACGTATACCTTCTTAATTTAAGTTCGCTACGGATAAACGCGGGGTGCATATATCAATTAGCAAACCAGACAGAAAAATTGTAAATACATTCACAGACTTAACCAGACCTAGAAGATGAATAATGATAACACATTCTTTGACCCAGCACTGCCTTGATCGGCTATAGTGTGTCTGCATTCAACACCAGGCCTCGTACACTGATTGATCTGCCGATAATGAATTTTCAGCAACTTTAGAACGTGACTAGTGTATGTAATACACATACGCATATATTGTGTATTCCCATTACGGCATGCAGATCATATTCGACTTTCACATGAAACTGATATGACACCGACACACATACATACGTGGCTACATGAGCGCGCATGCGTTCGTGTATGCGTGCGTGTACCCGTGCGTGTAAACGTGTGTGTATGAGTGCGTGTAAACGTGTGTGTATGAGTGCGTGTATACATTCGTGTATGCGTGCGTGTACGCGTGCGTGTATACGTGCGTATATATGTGCGTGTATGCGTTCGTGTATGCGTGCGTGTATGCGTGCGTATATGCGTGCGTGTATGCATTCGTGTATGCGTGCGTGAATGCGTGCGTGTATGCGTACGTGTATGCGTGTGTGTGTGCGACGTGCGTGCGTGTGCGACGTGCGTTCGTGTGTGCGTGCGTGTATACGTGCGTTTATGAGTGCGTGTATATGTGTGCGCATACGTGTGTGTATGCGTGCGTGTATACGTGCGTGTGTGCGTGCATGCGTGCGTGTATACGTGCGTTTATGAGTGCGTGTATATGTGTGTGCATACGTGTGTATGCGTGCGTGTATACGTGCGTGTGTGCGTGCATGCGTGCGTGTATACGTGCGTTTATGAGTGCGTGTATACGTGTGTGCATACGTGTGTGTATGCGCGCGTGTATACGTGAGAACCACCCACCCCTACCGTCAACCACTAAACACCCACCCCTAGCCTTCAATAACTAACCACCCACCCCTAGCCACCAACAACCCAGCCATTAGCCTTCAACCACTAACCACCCACCCCTAGCCTTCAACCACTAACCACCCACCCCTAGCCTTCAACCACTAACCACCCACCCCTAGCCTTCAACCACTAACCACCCACCCCTAGCCTTCAACCACTAACCACCCACCCCTAGTCTTCAACCACTTGAAGGCTAGGGGTGGGTGGTTAGTGGTTGAAGGCTAGGGGTGGGTGGTTGCCACTAACCACCCACCCCTAGCCTTCAACCACTAACCACCCACCCACCTCTAGCGAACAGTAACCACCCACAAACAACTAACCAACACCGACCACCTAACCACCATTCATATATCCAGCGCAATCAACTACAACCACAACGACGACTACCACAATCAAACAACACTATATCAGAATATTTCCCCGTCTGATATCAAAGTTAAAACAAGACTAGAATTATCTGTTGTTTATTTCATCCACCCATGTTTTTAATGAAATCACAAGGAGGGCCCGGCTGTACTCAATTCTTACACAGTAATCCATTGTCCCCTTATTTTGTCATATCAAATTTATCCACCTCACAATTCGCAGGTGCAGGCAGCACTGATGGGGAAATTGCCCCTACACAAGCTGCTTGTCATGCAACATTACATCGATAGTAAGTTACGTCGGACAGCGATTATTCGCTACTAGGCTCAAAGACGACCCTGTTTTCAACGAATTTAAAGATATTGTCGGTATTGGCGATGTGCCACGATGAGAAAGAGAGAGAAGGACAACGGGAAAGATAGATAGAGATAGAGAGAGAGAGGAGGGAGAGAGAGGAGGGGGAGAGAGGAGGGGGAGAGAGAGAGGGAGAGAGAAGGAGAGAGAGAGA